CTGTGCTTGAGGACTTCCCATCTGTCTGATGCTGTGCTGAGCCAGAAACTTTCCAGAAAAGAAATTTGGGGCTCTGAGTATGGAAAAGAACTATGAGTTGCCTTTTTTCAATGCTGGGGGTTATTAAACCCAGAACCTTGTCACTGAGCTACTTTCCAGCCTTTTAAAATGTTTTATTTTGAGACAGTGTCTTGCTGAGCCACTTAAGTTGCCCAGGCTTCACTCCAATGTGTGATTCTCATGCCTCAGCCTACTGGAGTGCTGGTATTACAGCCATTCACTTTTATCTGGCTCTGCTGTGGTTGTTGGGACAGCAGGCTGTGTGTGAGCCCTGCCAGCAGGGAGGAAATTGGTTGCATTCCCGATGCCTGAGGGACCAAATGATGAGGTTGTTTGGACCAAGGGAGAAAGAAAGCAGCTTTTCCATCTCTGGTTTGAGCTCCAGCGTATTGGCAGCAACTCTGAAAATGCAGGGAGGCAATGGATTTCCAAGGGGACCCCTAGATTCCTTAATCCCATTGGATCTTGGTGATGGCTTCTCCATGATAAATCATCAAAGAGCTTGACGCTGGGATTGTGGATAACAGGCAGTGCCGAGCTTTGATTCCCGTCCTTTAGGAAATGAAAATGTAGTTGGGAAATAAGTAAACACATGAAAGCTTACTAACACTGTGAGACTAAACTAACAGAAGATTGATGCTTTGCTGAAAGGAAACGGTTACACCTCAGAGATCTTAATTTGGAGTCCAGGAAAAATCAAGAGAGAGCCTGCGAACCCCTTAAAATTGCATGCAGACTTGGTGTGTTTGTATTTTTCACCTAGAGAAAGGATTTGTTCCTGCATCATGTCTCAAGGATGTATGTCATCCTTCACAAACATCAGCACTCTCTTGCATTTTATCTTCATAGTGTCCCTGTGTGTCAGGTAGGAAAGCCAAGACCCAGAGAGGTTAAATGCCAGAATCAGCATCTGAATCCCAACCTCTGGGCTTCACCTGTTTTCTGGCAGTGCATTCCCACAGCTTGAGTAAGATGAGCAGTGATTGGTCCATTCCTCCAGTTTTGATTTATGCCCAGGATGGCATGGTGCTCTTGCTGGGAACAGAATGTCTGTGCCTCAGGGGAAGATTAGTAAGGCTTAGATTCATTCAGCTGTGACAGCTGCAGCCTGTATTTCATGTTGGGTACCTGTGTGATGACAGACATCTGTCCCCAACTTCACAAAGGCAAGGGCCAGTGGTACCCGCAGGACGAGGGCAGGTGGTACTTGAAGAAGAACTTGTCTACTTCCAAGTGGCTTCCCAAGGAAGAGAGTGGGTCCTGTGTGCAGTCTGCTGTGGGTCTACCTTGAATAGTGTTGTCCACAGTCAGGGGAAGAGCATGTAAGTCTCTTTGTTTATAGTTTTTTCTCTGTGATTCTGAATTCCCATTACTCTTCTGATGTCCAGGAGTCAGTGGAAGATGATGGGTGACTGTAGCCTTGGATTCTCTGGTGTCCTGGACTGAACCCTGCAGGGGCATTTGTTCACCTTGAAGAGGGTGGTCCTGCAGGCAGCAGGGAAGGTCTGCACCTCCACTGACATCTGGGGTGTAGAAGCTCTGTGGGTCTTCTCACACCATCATGAGCCAGGTTTTAACCAGCTTGAAACACCTTGAAAGTCACCTGTTGCTATTCTTTTGCACAAATTGAGTCCTTGTGAGAAATTGCTGTGTTGGTTTCTTTGACTGATGGCTGTGGCTGAATGAAAGAGGAGAGAAGCAAAAGCCTGTGGGACTTGTGGCCCAAAGGAGCCTCCAACAACAGGGAACTGGGATTAGGGGAGCTGGGGGGAGTGGCTGTGAGCTTGTGTAGAGTGGGGGTGTGATTATAGGTCTGTGGCTTGGTGGATGAGAATGGCGTGTGTGTATGCATGCATGTGTGCGTGCATGTGTGTGTGTGTGTGTGTGTGTGTGTGTGTGTGTGTGTGTGTGTGTATGTGTGTGTGTGTGGAGGGCTCATGTGGCTGTGTGTACATAATTAAGACCTGAGTTTGAATTCCAGACCCATCATTTAAAAATTGTGTGGGTTAATTTACTTCTTTGTATGTCAGTTTTCTCATCTGTTAAATATAAGTAACGTTAACTACCTTGCAATTTTGCCTCAAGATCAAAATGTGAAAGCTTTCGAGAAAACTGAAGCATGTGCCTGGGTGGCCTCAGGAAGCATCACTTGAGTGGTAGGTGCAGGTGTGTCATGTGTATGCACATGCGGGCATTGTCTGCCAGCTGTCTGCAGGCTTCTTTGACTACAGGGCTTTCCCTTGTGTGGTCGAGGCTGTCCTCCAGGATGACTGCTCCTTTCTGGGACCTGCCTGCCTTCAGGCCCCACTCACTCAGGCTTTCCACAATGCCTTTCGGAGTGCTTTTTGTTGTTATTTCTGTCATTATCATTGGTGTTGTTTCTTACCAGCCATCATTCTCCCAGTTCTTCAGGTGTGGAAACAGTGGGGGCCCTGAAGGGGTGGTGATCTGATTTATACCAGGCCACCCTGTTGCTACCTGGACACAAGTTTACCCACCCCAGCTGCCTTTACTCCGCTCAGGTTTGAATAAATGGGAAAGGCTATTTAAATCCATTTTATGCTACTTTCCATGTTTAAACCAGCTTTGCTTGGTAGGAATTACATTTTTCATTTTTCAGTTTTGAGACTCTTATTTTACCTTTTAGCATTTTGTCTTACCATCAGTGTACACCTGCAATTACTGAAGGTAACATTTCTTATTTCTAATGCTTTTATAAAAATAATGCTTAATTTTTCTTGTCTTTTTCTTTTTTATACTGGAAATTGAACTCAGGACCATGAGCTTCCTAGGCTGGTGCTATGCCACTGCGCTATATCCTGAGAAACAGTGCATCTTATAAATGGATGCCTTCTTAGATCTCTCTTCTCTCTGTCTCTCTCTGCTCTTCACTCACTGTGTGTCTCTTTACAACCTGGTACTTCTTTTTCTTTGACCATTTTTGCAACTAAAGTGGAAGGCACTCCTGGGTGAGGTGCCTTGTGCCTGGCTCAGGTAGATGGTGGTGCTGGGTGCCTGCTGGGATGAGTGAACATGTCTGCAGGGTGTGATTCCCCCCAGAGGAGCCCACAGGCTGAAGGACCTCCATTGCCTCTTTCACAGCGTGGGCTTTCTCCTTTTGTTTTGCATCAGTACTTGGAGGATCTCACTCTCATCTTGTCATGCTAGCTGGGGAGGAAAATCAGGAGTGCCTGTAGAGGTAGGGAGCCCCACGGACACTATCGAAGTTCTTGAGTGACTCTGGTTGGTGAGTGTTGTTGGTGGCATCTGAGGATTCAGAGATCTTTTAAGGGGTGGCATGAGCTGGGAGGATTTGTGGCAAGAACAGAAGGATGCTGGGTTGAGTCAGGCTTAGAGGTGAGGGAAGGCTCCAGAATTCGATCCAGGCACAGCATAAAAGACAGGTTAGCTTAGTGATGTGTTCATGTGAGTGGCCACGGGAGAAAACCAGGAAGATACATGGGGCTTGGCTGGGAAAAGCTTTGAATCTCAGGCTTAGAAGCTTACTGTGGGCAAAGCGTGGGCTTTCTCTGTTACATCAACTTGGGTTCATTCATTCTTTATTTCCAGAAGACATTTACTGGAAAGTGAAGCACTGTCCCAAGTGCTGTGGAAATAGTGGGGAACACAAAGACCCGTCACCAGGCTTGTGGACTTTCCACTATAGTGGATTCAAAGCCTAGCTGGGTGAGCTTTCACATGCTTCTGAGTCTTAATTCCTTCATTTGTGAAATAAAGGTATTGTGAAATATGTGTATGTGTATCACAGGCATAAATGAAGTAACGCATAGGCCATAGAGCCTGGTTCATAGCTGGTATCCATGTGTATCAGCTCCCTGATTCCTCTTCCTCCTTACCATTTCCTTTCTGTGCCTCCCTTCAGGGAGCCACTGGCTCTGCTTTGTGCCTGGCAGAAGAGCACTGCCTATCTAATGCCCTAGAACTGCCAGTTACCACTTAGCAGCCCATGGAGTGGGCCGGATATATTTACGTGCCAAAAGTGACTGTAAGTGACAAAGGTCAAGGCAGTTCATCGGTAGAATTTAAGTGCTGAGCACTTAGAAGGCTCTCCAGGATGTCTGTAACCCCAGAGCATGGACTGTGCTCAGGCTGGACCATGCCCAGAGAAAACCCTGGTTAAGTGGTCATGCAGGGAGTGATAAGGACAGAGGGACATAGCAAACAGAGCTAGAGGAAGGGAAGATGGGAGAAGAGAAGAGGGGGAAGCCTCACACGCAGGGGGCTGACTGGAAGAGCAGTGAGCAGCAGTGCAGAAGCTTATGTTTCTCTCTTCTGCTTGTTGAGTGCCTGCCGCATGCTTGCCAAGAACAAATTCCCTCATGATGTTTAATAGAGTTATAAGAGAAAGATAATACACATGAGCAAATAAATTACAGGAGAACTTTGACTAGAGACAAAGGCTATTCATTTACTTGATCAACAAAAATTTTAGTGTGTGACTTACTAGTTTTGGATCTAGGAGATCAGCAGATAGCAAGGAAGGGGATGATCTTACCCTCATAAACTTCACATTTCCGTGGAGACACAGTCAATTACCCCACAGACTAATGGATAAGTAATCACCACTCAGTCAGTGAAGAGTGTTACAAGGAGAAGAAAGCAAGGTAACAGGACAGGGGCTGTTTTACAGAGTAAGCACTTGAACAGGATGGATATTAGAGGCCTCCCTGAAGTATGGAAGAAGCCATGCCCTCACCCAGGGGAAGGACACACTGGGTAGAGGGGCAGCGAGTGCAAAGCCTCATGCTTGGTGAATGTAAGAATGATCTAGTAGGTCACGGTCACTAAAGGTGACTGAGAGTGAGAGTAGTAGGAGTTCAGGTCAGAAAGGTAAGCAGAACTTGGGGGCTTTGTTTCCACTGAGTGGGTAGCAGAGGGTGGGGTTCTGAGCCCCACAGAAACAAATTGCATCTTTGCAGTACGGTGGGCTGCTTTGTGGAGGAGAGAATGCGGAGACCCCAGGATGTCACTGCAGGCCCAGATAGGAGGACGTCTGCAGGACTCCAGGTGAGCTGGTGGTGCTGTGGTGAGAATGACCAGGAGCAGGTGGTGGGAAGCATCCGCACGTGGGTCACTGCACTTTAAAACCTTGCCATGATGAACACATAGCGATGGCCCAGTTAAGGGGACTCACTGTGACCTTTCCACACAGGCCCTCACTGTGCTTTGATCCTGTGTGCTCACGCTGCTTCTGCTACCCTTCCCTTCCCTCCTCCATCCCGCAGCACCCTTCCCAGGGCCTACTGACCCTTCCTTACTAGGTGTATGTCTCAGATCCCACATGTGTGCGGAAACATACCATACTTGGCCTCCAGTTCCAAACATTTTCCTGCAAATGGCAGGATTGCATCCTTCACAGCTGAACATCTCTCTGCTCTGCATGAATCCATCCTGTTTTCTTTATCTGTTCACCTGTTTGACGGGCACCTGGGCTGATTTCCATATAGTGGCCCTTGTGACTAGTATCGCAGTAAACATGGGTATGCAGGTACTTCCTTTGTATGGTGGCTCGATGTCCTTTGGATGTGTAAAAAAGAGTGGTGCTGGGAGGATCATGTGGGAGTTATATTTTGTTTTTTGAATCACTTCCATATTGTTTTCCGTAGTCACGATATGAATCTACATTTTCACTAATGGTATACAAGGGTTTCATGTCTTCACTAGCATTTTTTTTTTAATTTTAGCCATTCTCAGTAGGTTTTGCCTAACATAGTTTTGGCTTCAGTTTCCCTGATGGCTAATAATATCGAGCATTTTCATACCTTTAATGTCTGTTTATAGTTCCTTTGAGATGTGTCTATTTAGATTGTTTAACTGTTTGGAAATTGTTACATTCTGAGTGGTAATCTATTTGATGAATAGCAAGTGTTATGTGTGGCTTTCTCTCATTATACAGGTTATCTTTTCATCCTGTTGGTTGTTTCAGAAGCTTTTTGCTGTGATGTGATCCCATTTGTCATTTTTCGCTTTTGTTTCCCATGCTTTTGGGGCTCTATCCAGAAAATCACTGCGTGTACCAATATCTTGAAGTGTTTCCTATACGTTTTCCTCTAGTGGTTTCCCAGTCTCAGGTTTTCCTGTAAGATCTTTGATCCATTCTGAGCTCAGTTTTGTACAAATTCAAAGGTGAGCACCCAGCCCGGGTCTTCTGCATAGTGATGTCCAGTCTGCCCAGTACCCTTTGTTGGAGAGGCTGACTTTTCTCTGACGTTTGGCTGTAGATAGGTGGGTTTACTGCTGTTTCCTTATTCTGTTACACTGGTCTCTACGTTCACTGTTATGCCAACTCTGTGATGTTCTTATTACTGTGACGCTGTGGTTATCTTGAAATCAGGTATTGTGATGTTTCCAAGTTTGCTTTTTTGATCAAGATTTCTTTGGCTCTTTTGGGTCTTTTCTGATTCTACATGAATTTGAGGATTATAATTTTTTTCTAGTTTGGAGAAGAACATTCTTGGTATTTGCATAGGGATTGGATTTGTACATTCTTTTGGGTAGTAAGAACATTTAGCAATGTCAATTCTTCAACAAAAGGAGAGGTCTTTTCACCTTTCAGTGTCTTCAATTTTTTCTGAAGAGTTTTGTAATTTTTATTGTAGAAGTCATTTACTTTCTTAGGTTTACTTCAAGGTGGATACCAAACATTTAAAAAAATGTAGTGCACTGTTGGGTTAAATGCTGCTGAAAGTTGAGGAACAGGAGCACTAAACATTGCCTGTGTTTTTGAGAAGATGAAAAACTTTACACAGCATTGACTACAACGGTCTCATTGGAGTAGTCGGTACAATAACTTGACAGGAATAAGCTTCACAGAAAAGGTTAAAAAGCAGAGACAGGAAATGTAGGTGTTTTTTTTTTTTTGTGTGTGTGACTCTTTTATAAAGTGTCTCAGTCACTTTTCCTTGTCACTGAGATGCAATACCTGACACCTGCAGTTTAAAGGTGGAGAGGTTTATTTTGGATCATGGTTACAGTCGATGGCTCGGCTGGGTCTAAATCAGAAACAGGATGGCAGAAGGGAGACAAACCCTCCCATGTCACGTTCCAGGGACCTGGCTCTTCTCATCAAACCCTGCCTGAGAATGGCAAGTCTGCTTTAGCACCCCCTTGGTTCAATCACCTTCCAAAAGCCTCAGCTGTGAGTGTGTGAAGCATCTGGGGGAACATTCTTGATGCAAGCTGTAACAAAGGGGAATGATCAAGAGGGTCAGCACCTGGCTGGGAGTTTGTAGGACAGGAGATGTAGTGATTGACACATTGTTTCAACTTGAGAGGTTTAGAAGTTTAAGTGACTCCTCTGGGGGCCATGGTCCTTACTTTGTAAACATCTCCATCAGGTGCAAGAGGAGGGCACTGAGATGGTGTGAGTGCTACACCCACCTGAGAGTGAGTAGCTTGCTCACAATGTGACGGAGGAAAAAGTCTCATGCCCCATTTTTTGCTCTTGTTGCTTTTGCTGTCTTCCATTTTCTTGAAGTGTTGGTCCTCTGCCATGTCTTGGAGCCAGCCAATTCTGCATGGACTGAAACCTTCACAAACTGTGAGCTAAATAAACCTTTCCTTCTTGTCTTAGCAGTTAAAGAAAAATAACCACGACAGGAGGTATTGGACTACATTTTAGGAATAATCTATTAGATGTGCAGAAAAGAGGGGAACTAATAGCAGGAAGTCCTTGAATAGGTGAGAGCAGCTAGAATCCCAAATGTGAGTGCAGGGACAGATTTTAGGAGCAGGACTAGCTGGTCCTTGGTACTGGAAGTTTAGGCAGGGGACAGTGAATACACATCTATGGGTATGGGAGATTTGCAGTCAGAAAGATGATCACAGTTTTTTCTCTTTTCTCCATGAAATACAAATGAGATAACAATCTGATAGCAAGCAGAGGGGAGGACATTGGAGGTGAGAAAAGAGGCGAAACAGAAAAACCTAGACTGGGATGATGTGACGGAGCCTGCCCTTCTCCCACTATGTCCTCTCAGTGGGCAGGGAGAAGCCAGGTTGCAGGGTCACAGGTTTTTGTGGTCTTCAGAGCTGTGTTCTAGTAACTGAAGAATATTTGTTAAATAAATAAAAGCACCCAGAAGCCTGGCAGAGAGAGGTATTCACATAGTCATCTAGGATGCACTGTAAAAAACCATGACAGAAGATTGCAGATTTTTCTGCTGAGGATTTCAGGGTGCGTATTGTGCACACGTGTGTGCATGCGTCTTTGCATGCCTGTGGGTATGTGTTCCAGGAAAGCACTCCAAAGAGATGTTCCCTGCCTTACTTGGTAGGCAGGAAGGGCTTTTCATCAGGTGGAGGAGCAAGCAGAAGGCACTGTGGCAGAAGCAGGAGGCTGCAGAGGGCTCAGCACACAGAAGTGCTTGGCCAGGGAAGGCACAGTCAAAGCCCTGAGGAGCTGTCGGTCCCTGGGTTTGCTGGGGCAGAGGCAGTGCAGACGATGGGAATCACAGAAGGTTTGAACAGGAGTGCATCAGTGTAGACGTGAGGTCCTGGGAGAGATGGGTCTCAGGGGCTATCGAATCAAAATCTGGGTCATTTAGTACTGGTACTCCTCTAAGAACATCGGATGTTTTCCAGGAAAAAGTTTTCTTTTCTTTTTTTTTTTTTTTTTTTTTCTTTTTTCCTTCATTCTTCACTGGTAAAATCGAATAGTAACACAGCCTCTAGATTGGGACCTGGATTTGAGTTCCACCTTAGCCAGGCCCTTGGCCCAGGACAACCCTTGTGGAGTGAGGGAAATAATACTCTTTTCCCAGGGCCATGCGTGACCAGGGAAACAATGTCTGCAGAGGAGCCTTAGAAACTCGTTGGTTAAGTGCTTCTGTGATGGCAGGGCCAGGGCTTGTTTATTCCTTGGAGGTGGCAGGCAGGGTGCTTGTGCTTTGGCCCCACGAAGTGGGTGCAGACTCTGCTGAAGTTAGTGTTTCCTGCACGGCGTTTCCTTCTGGAGAAGCCGGGCACTGAGGAATCAGAAAAGGAGCTCAAGTAGGGCTCTCTCAGTGCCTTAGCTGTACAATGCAGTCCCCGCTATTGAGGACTCATGGGTTATTTAAATTGGAATTCATATTAAAGCAAATAAAACTAAGAATTGAAGACTCCATTGCCCTAACCATGGTTCAAATGCTCAGTAGCCACCTTGTGCTCCTGTGCTGACTCGCGTGGCTGTTACTGTGGAAACCTCTGTCACACTTGCTGCGACCAGGCTCGGGCGAGGCTCCATGGAGCCGCAGAGAGCCTAGGAGGGAGGTGTGGTGGCTTACAGCGCCTTCTGGGACTTGGTGATACCGCCTAGTGAGATATACAGAAGAGAGGCCCTCAGGTAAAAGTGAACTTGTGCACTGTCAGTGTTACTGTGTCCTTGTGCTGTGTTTGAATCTGGACAGGACTCACGCCACATTGACAGGCTGCTGCTTGGGAGACAAATGCTGGACATGAATGAATGCTTCATCTCTGGATCTCGTTCTGTGCTCTGTAGCTCTTTAAAGGTTCCTGGGAGACAGTAACCCAGCTGCCTGCCTGTATTTACATTTTGTGTTGAGGGAGAGAGAACAGAAGCTTTAGCATGGGAAAGCCCTGCGCCACACCTGTCATTCTTTTGACGGGGCCTTCTCCAAACCCTCGGAATGTGAAGGTGCCAGGGCCCTTGCTCAGGTGATGTGCAGTGGGGCTTTGGAGAATATAGCTGGATAATCAGCAGCCAGGCTAACGGATGTCCCCTTTACAGCCCAGGCATGCCCTGGACACAGAGAGGCGCTGACCTGTCCCCACTGTGGGAGGAAAGAGAAAGGAGGTGAAATGGCCTGGGCAGCTCCAGTGGTCAAGGGAGGTGGGTTTTAGAGGATTCTAGGGAGACAGACAACAACCCAGAGACAGCAGCTCAGATGCCCTTTTTCCTGGACGCCACCTGTGTCCTGGCCAGCAGAGTCAGGGGATGAGCGGTCCGTTCAACGCGTGTTTATTCAGCAGCTGTTGTTTGCCATGTACAGCTCCAGGTGCTTAAA